AGTCGTGTTTATCATCTGAAAGCGTCCGTAATGCCACCGCGTCGACGTGTTTTTGGCGGGTTATTGTAATCCACGTGTCTATTTATACTTTTCCGTGTGTTAATGCTTAAATTGTAGAAAATGAACTAATTAATAGTACATTACTGCCGAAGCCGGGAAGTAAGAGATTGCTGGACGAGAGTATGAGTATGATTTTCAATGTTCTTTGCTTAGAATAATAACGCATAGAATATTCAGTAGATATAATTTCATATCAAACGAACTGTCACAAGTGAGGCAAAAATCAAATTCATGTAGGTGTAAGCAATTTGTATCTACGTTCGTCGGCACGCACACAAATATACAAATAATGATGGCATGGAATAACATTTCCCTCAAAAGTTTAGTATAAGGGGTATCTAGTTTATGTTTATCTGACGTATTTTTACACTCATTTACCGCACATTTCGTCATTTTTAGCTAAAATTCTTGAGCTGTTTCTCAAGAATTGAAAGATATTAGTATCGAAACTAATATCTTTCAATGGAACACATTACGATATATATACGAACAAACCTAAAACCTATAACCTTACCATAGTTGCTAAGAAATTGTCACCTGTTCAGTAGAGACTTCAAGTTACTGTATTCCTTAATAATGATGTATTGTTGGACTATACATTTGAGTATGGAATATGTGACCTTATAACGTTGATGGCTTGTGAGTTTTAGCAAGTTCGCTAGAATAAGTCACAAGTAGTCTCCGAAAACGAACTAGCATTTTTTTCGCTTCTTCATTGCATGAAAATTTCATAAGTTTTTCATGCTTACTTTGCTCATAGCCGGCAACACATTTTCCATCGCTAATATTGCCTCTTGTTTAAAATTAGGTGGAATCCATTACTGTATTTTCGTTATCGCTCGTCTCACTCATTTTCGCGACGAAAAAACAGGAAAGAATACCAAAGCACTTTAGTTTTTTAAGTAAGCGGTATACGTAGGTATTTTTAATTGTCGCAATTACTAACCCTGGACAGTTGGCTGTATGAGTTTTTCCTTTGCCTGTTTACATAGATCATATAGATTTAAAAAATTAGTAAATTGGAGGTTATTGGATTTTTATACTTACTTTGCAGGCCTTGGTCGGAAAGAAATCTCACGGTCCATAAATGACTAACTTCCCGTTTTTGCTTTTTGAAAGTAATGCAAAAATTTCCGAGCATGTTTGAGAATAAGAATTTTTTTCTCATCAACTGTATTTATTGCAACAACAAGTAAGAGTGGTGATAGCTTATTGGGAGAAAGGTTGTTTCATAAATGAACGAAAACGGCAAAGGAAAGCATCATGATTAGAGTGTGAGAGTTCACAAGCCTTGCAAAGTCTGTAAAGTCCCCAAACCGATTGTACGTCATGCGGCTTGGGGACTTCACAGGTCCAACTTCCAACTTAGCGGCTTACGACTATAGATATAGGAAAGTTATAACCTAAACGATTAGAGAAGTCTCGTGCCCAGTAGTGGGCCTTATGTTTATTTACTTATCTATTTATTCATGGAAAACCAACTGCTTCAAAACGCTAAATAAAAACAGCGTGTAATATTGATTATGACGGCTGGGCCACGCTACCATGACTCAAGTACTAAAGTCGCTAGCGATTGCGAATTCAACACTCGTGAGAGGTAATATAAAATACAGATAGATACAGCTAATCGAGTTTTTCGTTTCATAATACTGTCTGAAAAAGTGTCATTCCAGAGCAATCTTTTACAAAAATAACAATTTATCCATTCCCCTGGCGTGGTATTATAAAGTGTCCATTGTGTATCACAAAGACCCCTGACGGGGCGCATCTCTCACCGATTCCGTTAGGCCATTTGTTTTATAAATGCTCCATCATTTGTGGATTGTGGTCTTCGAGGGACCACTGTTCCCGATGCGGGCTTGTAACTAATCAAGCGAGTGCTTTGCTCTGGATTAAAATGACTCCGTTTGAATTTTACTGATTAATTTACCCGCGGGATTTAAACACTTTTGTGTGGTAATGAACGGTTTCTTAACTTTTCGGGTTCCGTCATCAACTACTCTTTAATCTTAGATATTTAAACTTGGAACATGAAGCTGGTAACGTTTCTTCTTTGGATATCTAAGCTTATTCTTTGCTACCAGGTTTCTGGTCACCGGAGTAATATTTTTGAGACGAACAAGTCGTGCGCCTGGTGGTAAACTACTCGACTACCCATAACAGTTGAAATGCCACTCAGAGTTTTAATCCCTAAGATCCGAGGGAAACTGCCACTGCACCCATCACTCTGAGATATAAAGTTTTTTTTTATTCTAATGTAAGTGTACAATTGACCTCCATCTCACCTGATGGAAAGTGACAATGAGGTCGACGATGGAGCATGCACACATAGATAATGCCTATTCAGTCTCGCCTTGAAAAGGTCCAAGTTCAGGGAACAAGTCTGCAGGCAGGGAATTCCACTCCATAGCCGTTCGTCATATAAATTTGGAAGCGTAATGCTTCGTGTGAATCTTTGGAATATCCACAACATAGGGGTGGAAGCCAAGCATACGCCTAGTCCTCCGATGATGGAAAGGGGAAGGCGGAATTAAATCGTGTAATTCCATCGCACACTCTCTGTGATATATCCTGTAAAATACCGATAAGCAGGCAACTTTACGGCGGTGTTCAAGGCTCTGCAGCTTCGCCTCTACTAATTCCGAGTCACCTATAAGGCTCTTGTCACGCTTGTCAATTGAATCCAAGGTGGTCAGTTGATATGTAGCAGAGCCATCCCAAAGGTGGCAACAGTACTCCATACACGACCGGACTTGTGCTTGATACAGCTGAAGCAACTGTCCCGGTGTGAAATAACGCCTCTACCTGGAAAGGATGCCAAGCTTCCTGGCTGCATTTTTGGCTATGGATTCAATATATCTGCCGAAGTTCAGATTGGACGACAGGTCCAATCCAAGCAGTTGGAGACGGTCGGCTATTGGTATGGATATATCACGAAAAGTCGGAGTCAGCTCAAAGGGACTCCGTTTAGTGGAGAATAGACACGCCTGCGTTTTGGTAGCCTTAAATTTGAAATAGAAATAGAAATAGAAACCATTTATTGTAGGTACCTGGAATTAACATATCATTGATATGCAGCAGAAAAAGTGTTGCAGACAGTACGGAACCCTGAGGAACTCCGGAATCTATCGCCATATGTTCGGAGGAGTAGCCTTTTAAAACCACTTGAATGGAACGTTCACTCAAAAAATCCGAGATCCAATTGCAAAGGTCAGTGGGAACCCCGTAACATGGAAGCTAACTTAAAAGGCTTGCGTGCCAGACCCTGTCAAAGGCTTTAGAAATGTCCAAACACACTGCAAGTGCTTCGCCTTGCTTTTCTATAGCCTAGCTCCATAGGCATACACAAGAAGATCCCCGGTAGATCGCCCTCTTCGGAATCCATACTGGCGATCACTGAGGAGGTCATTGTCTTCAAGGTATGACAGGAGACGGTTGTTGAGTACGCGTCTTGCAAAGTATGGAAGTGACTGAGATAGGTCTATAGTTGACAAGGTCAGCTCTGCTTCCCTTTTCGGGCACAGGTTGCACGTTTGCAAGCTTCCACGACCTGGGAGCTACACCAGTCTCAAGTGAGAGGCGATACAGGTGTGTGAGAACAGGAGACAACTCAGGCGCATAGTTACGTAGGGCTACCGCTGGAATTCCATCTGGCCCGCTAGCTTTATTCACGTCAAGATTCCGCAGAGTACTTCTTTTTGGCGTATGCGAACTGGCGCCATAGCGCAGCCCACCTGAGGTAAGGTAGGTGATACGTTCCCTGCGGCATCCAGATGCGAACTCTCTGCAAAGAGTGAGGCAAAGAGATTCGCCTTCTCTTCTGGAGTATGAGTCAGCGTGCCATCCGGCCTCAGAAGAGGCGGCAAAGATTAACGGGTCCCATGCACCTGTAGAGTCACCAACACCCTTATCCTTCCAAACTGGAACGCAGTAATGTTCACTTTACTACTTAGCAGCAGATATAGGTATAGTGTCAGTACTTTGCAGGACGAGCTTTTTCTAAGGAAGCTCTACTGCTGTTAAACTGCTTGCGTGTAAACGTCAAATAAATGAAATCAAAATAAGTGAAATATTATTGAAATTCGAATGTGTTCAAGATATGGGTAGATATATATTTCGACGAGTGTCAGAAGTGGCGGCAAGGAGGAATTACAGCCGTCTTAATTGTCTCATATATTCCGCATCAAACAAAATCCAAAGGATTTTCCACCCACATCTCATTACCATGTCTTTCATCTGTTGGCGTCACATTGTTAACGGCACTCTTACCACAGACATATATTGCATAAATATAGGTTATTCGTTCTACAGAGAACATATTTGTGTTTCTCGTTCACTCGTAGAATGTTTCCCTTCAATGTAGGAGAAAAAGTTAGGCATGTACCACCACAGTTCTTGTACTAGATTTGGAATACTAACCAAAGTTTGGACGTACTAGGAAGAAAGTAAGATGGGATAGTCTGGTTATATAGCGAAAAAAAGGGTACTGTTAGCGATTTTACGTATTAATGGTTTTTGGAGAATAAAACTTGCATTACCTACATTACCAAATAACGAAAGGAACGAAAGAAAATCTTTTTTGTAAGAAAATTATCAACACAAATTAAGTTCTGTAGAATATCGCTAGATGGCGTTGAACGGTTTCTGTAAAATTTTAATTTATTTTAATAACGGTTGTAGCCCAGTGGTTAAACGACTGCTTCTCAATTGAGAAGTCGATGGTTTGAATACCTTTGGCGGTATGTATATTATGAAAACCTGCACGTCGAAGAAGGTTTTGCGATTCTCGGAAAACATGTGCAGTTCTTAATTGCGCCAGTGTGACAGTTGACAAGTCCCATGTGCGTGTAATTTCACCAGCACTCACCCTTCAAAACCGAAACGCAGTAACACTCATATTACCACTTGGCGGCAGAAATAGGTAAGGTGGCAGTACTTACCTTGACGAAATCTTTCACGAGGAACTCTGCAGCTTCAGGTGCGCGTACGAGCGCATGCATATGCGCTATTATGCCTCTGACATCTTATAGCCAAGTAGTATTGTTATGTTTTAATACGCAATTTATTCTCAAGTTTTTATACCCGGTAAGAAATTACGTAGCTGTTCATTTAAATCACAAAGCGGCTTGTGCCTATATATAAAACAAACAAGATCAAGTTGACACTTAATTTTTTTTATGAAAAAATAGAAACACGCTCACTCACCGGATATTAAGTAACGATATCACCAACGATGATACTTGTTTGTCCAAAAAAGTATCTACTCCTTCTAGCCTTGAATAGCTCAAAGTATAGCATTTTATGTTTTATTATAGAGAGCTTAGAAGTCATAATTTCCATAATCACAGTGGAAGAGGGGAATTCTTGTAAGTAAATTATTCACCATCACGTACTGCTCAGCTTCGGTATGAAATTTTAATCGCGAATAAGGAAACGAATCAAAAATTAAATTAACAAACTTTTACACGAGGCGTCTCGTAATGTAATGAGTTAAATGAAATATTTTACTTAAGGGAAACGCCATTATAACACACTTCGTTGATAATTTCAATAGTATAATTAAATTCTCGCAAGTTAGTGTTTTTACCACTAGTACAATTTTGAAAAAAAAAAGAAATTGGCAGCTTCTGTGACGCATTGACTTAATGGCATTAACTAATTTTTTGTTGTCATTTTACTGTTATGGCGTACGCCTGTCCATAACAGTTGCAGTGCCACTCAGAGTTTTAAATCACAAAGATCGGATGGGCACTGCCACGACCCCCATCACCCTGAGACATAAATTGACTAGTCCCATGTACCTATAATTTCACCAGCACCCTTCAAAACCGGAACGCAGTAGTTTGGCGACAGAAATAGGTAAGATGGCGGACGAACTCTTTCACAAGTAGTTATAGCTACCAGTAACTGTCAAAATGTTCACTTTCGGTCGAACGTCACTGGTAACTACAGTTACCAGTAAATTACCGTACCCGATTGGTGAACTGTTTTACAAATAACTTTGGTGTTACCACATGTAGGTATTAACACCAAATTTTTACTAGTATTTCACTGTTAAATACTCGATATCCTAGTATAAAGAAACAAATATTCATGATGCGTCCCTATAACAAACAAAAATGTGAAAAAAAAAACTTTGGCGGGATTGTTGATGTTTAGTGTTTGATGAAGACTTTAATTGTGATAGATGACATTAGTAATTAATTTCTGTAATTATCACATATCAAAATGATCGTCAGGATGTACTTTTTCAGATGGTGTTAAAACTTTAGCATTTGATATCTTATTGGAATCACAATCTTGTTGGAAAAAAGATCATCAAAGTGGAGGTCATTGCACCTAGTGATTGTTTTTTGGAAAAAACTTATTCAGTATTAAAATACTTTTTGGAGTAAAATATTACTCAAACACATAACTTTATTTAATATAGGTTGTATTAAAACCTTTTTTAGGTCGTTACATTGTGAGTTGTGATAGGATTCGTCAATTTTCTTCCTGGCGATATATAGTTTTTTTACGCCATTTTCGCAAATTTTCGCGATTTTCGTCGCTACCCGCGACTGTTATTAATTTATTTTAAAAATAGTTACACATTATTTTCATATGAATCTAGTGTTAATCGATAGGTATTTAAATACATCTTTATTTGTATGTTTTGTTTCTTAATAAAGTGAATATATAAAGTGGTTAGAAGTTAAAGCGTAAAACACTATGAAAATTTCTCAGAAGTGTTCAGTGTACTCAGAAATTAACAAATAAAGTCGTTGTATTACAATACCTGTAGTCTAAAGAAAAGCTACTTAAGTGCTTTTATCGCCCATGTTATTATTTTTACGGTAGCTTAATAGATTATTTAGTTCCAAATGTTTATATTATACGTGTCTTATCGCCGCCCGTAATATAACCAATTAAAAAGGGTACCAACTGATTAGAAATGTGGCAGGTATCAAATGTCACGCGCGCCGACGATCAAGCAGTTATGAAAATGAGACTAATTCTTGATATTTAACCAATTTCAATAAAACTTGGCAAATACATATAATTCCACAAAGTTTTGAGGTCGGCTCTTATAGTAGCTCAGTTTTAAGTTGATTGAAAACAATCCCTTGCAGTCAAAGCGTAATAAAAAAAAGAAATGACATTTCTTTGTTCGATAAATAAGATAAGTATGGCTCAGATGCCTTTGCCTGTCTCGAAGGAAGAAATCTTTACTACTACTATCAAAAACCTCATAATAGACACTACTACGTTTGCTAGTAAAATACAAGTAAAAATACGTTCTTTTTTGGTAAGCAGTGTATGTCTACCCATCCAAACCTTTTACAATAAAACGAGTCGTCGTAGATTCGTAATAAATGGCGGAAATTCGCAAGTTATCACCTGAGGGGAGCGTTTTTCTACAATGTTGTCAATCAGTCACCGTCCACAGCTCCTCCTCGACACTGATTTGATTGAAAACTGCCTTCCTCGCACCTGAGGCCCACCATACTTCGTTATATGCAATTTTATACTACGTTTGTGTACATTGACAACAGTTATACATTATTTATGATCACGATGTCTGGATAAACGGAAAATAAGTATTATGATGCGGCGTATCGTGGTGGACTATGGCTTAAAATCTCTCTTTAGGCGAAACCTATGTCTCTGATACGCTTCTGTAATAAGGTTTCGGTTTATTCAAAATTTGCCATTTACTAAGTTTTAAAACTGTAGTCAAACAAAAACTGACATTCATTAAACTTAATTACAATGATTAAAGTGACATTTCTAGTCAGCGGCTGGTAGCTGTAAAGGCACCTCGCTGAGTGAAGAAAAACTTTCATAGAATTCGCATAGATGGCGTCACGGCAAAAAGTCGTTAAAAACTAAAACAAAAATGTGCAATAAGAAAAAAATTCGTGAGGTCAGTTGGTTCGTTCCGTGGCTTAGTTGGCGTAGCACGGTTTGCTAGGAGACGTTGGTACGAATCCAACCGGATCGAAGTGATTTTTCTATAATATTCGATCGTTGTTTAATAATTAAAAACTGTACACTTTTATTTATACAGCTTCTTCGACTTGATTCATAATATTTGAAGTAAATATTGTAAATTATGAAGGTATACAAATAACTTTACAAAGAGCAACTCCCAGACTTTCTCATTAATTCTTTCAGGGGAATCTGTCTTAAGAATGTGTAGTAGAGTTTAATAAATGTGACTATTTCAAATGTAATTAACTTGCTTAATTTGAGTTTGAGACCGTATCTTGCAGTGCGATGTAGGTTGAAGATGAATTTGTTTTACATGTCGACAGGAGATGTATTCGTAATACAAGGGCAGTATTGTCGTAATTAGTTTGTCACATTTAGACTCGTGTCGACTATAACAATGCGAAAATGGCTTACTGAGCATAAGTGTGTAGAGCTTCGTGTACTGTTGGCACACGTACTGCACAAACTAAGCACTTCTATTGTATTTATTGTTTCATATTTATTACATTTCATGTACATTATAAGCCGAAAGTTAATAATGACGTGGAACTGAGTACATTTTACTAAACCAAAAGGCAGTTAGTGGCAAAATTTCTTTACTATGTGGCCCAAAAGGCCTATAGCAAAGGAAAGTTAAGCGTGGGTTAAAATTGTTCGCTTAAATTCGTTACGTTTTCCCTAGCCACACTCGCGAACGTTTGAGATGCATAGAGATGGGCCATTGATTTGGGTTCGGTCAAACATTTGGCATGCAAACATATTGAAGGTACTTTTTCAAATTAACCAGCACCAATATCCCACTATTGGGCAAAAGCCTCTTTCTTGGACTTTCGATCCAGAGCAATCTGCGGCTGGTCACTCAAGAATACGTCTTGGTCATTTTACTAAATACGCGCCGTCAACAGACGTCTTGTGGCGTCGGATGCATTCGGCAAATAAGGCCACCCCAGTGTCATTTTAGCCTGGAGTCTTTTTTGCCTAACTTACGATATGATTGCGATTTGGAACGTAATGAGGTGTTTTTAACACTTAAAATGCTGCGTCTCGAAGATATATTGTAAATTAATTCACTTGCTATATCGATGGCGTACACTAAATACATTACTGTGGCCCAGAAGTTATAGCCGCTACTCGCCATGCTGAAGTGTGTGAATGTTTGGTAGCAATACCTCTTGGTAATTGTGAAGGACAACGTCGTGATGAAATCAGTATGTCGAAGAAGGTTCCTTAGAAATCGTGTAAAGTCTTCAACCTGCATTGGGCCAACGTGGCGGACTATTGTCTAAGCCATCTCTTTGGAGAGACCCGTTCCCAACAATAGGATGAATAATAAGTTGATGCTTAAATAAAGGCTCTTAGATCCATTTTCCAGTAAGCGATTAGTCGCGGCTGGCAGGCTGTAAGCCATATTCACTGACGTGGCCGCGACTCGGCAGTTGCTGTGACAGCAAAAGAACACGCGACTCCAGCAGTCGCGCTCGACTCAAATTCTGCATATTATTACATCGCAATCCCCACTATGCGACTAGCCGCGCGCTATCAAACAAAATTTCCTTCAGCAGATATGCAGTCTCCCATTTTAGTTGTAGTACCCGTTATTAGCGGTCTCAGCTTTGATAACAATTCATCAAAGGATGCTATCGACGTTCGTGTGTAATTGAAAAATTTCGTGTCGTATTCTCGTAACTTATTATAGAACGAATAAAATACGATCTCTCTTAACAAGGGCTGTATCCAACATTAATGTTTTCGTTTTCTTTTTGACAATAAGTAAAAACATGTAATTTCTTCGTCGTCCATTTTGTAAATGAGTTATTTGTAGAATACACTCGCGCGCGACCAGTTGCGCACGCAGCTGCTGTGGCTGTGGTCGCTCGCAGCTAGGCGCTTACTGAAAAAGGGCTCTGAAGCAATCCAGGAGGTAAGCTACGCAAAGCCCTTTGCATAGCCGTACTTATTCACTGGCGGAAGTAGCGGCCAGCCTTCTAGTCGGAGGCTTCAACAAGACCAGCTCAAAGTTAATTAG